CGGGGTGGGGGAGAAGTTCTGGAAGAAATCAACTCTTTGTCGCTGACTGCAGCCTCATGCAACGTAACGAGCCTTAAAGACAGGCGGAGAACCCGGTGGCCGCTTCACCCTGAAAATCCACATGCCATCAATGATGTTCGCCCCATGAGGGGAACCTCATCGACGTAAGTGCCTCGGGACTTCCAGGATGCCATCTTTGCGTCCATGGCTGTCTGCCAATGAGAGGAGTAGGAACCCGCGATCGCCTCAGCGTAAGAACGCGGAGTCGGGATGTCTGGTGCATCCGGGTCTCCCTCAGGGGCAAGCAGCATGGCCACGAGATGAGGCGCAGCGGCTGCAAGACACTCAAAGTCCTCCTGCCTGTCCTCAAGGACGTCCGTGCCAAGAGCACACTCACCCCCGACGGACGGAGGACAGACAGACTCAGACTCAGCAATAAGACTAGCAGCGTAGTCTAGACGACAGGCAGCAGCAAAGTCAACAAGCTCAGAGACTAAGGCAGACGCAGCATCAGACTCAAACGACGGGTCAGTGACAACTGTGGCGAGCAGACGCGTGAGCGTAGGGTGAGCAGCATGAACCAGGTCAGACTCAGGGTCCTGAACGTCAGGCAGGGAAGACGCAGGAGGAGATGGTAGGGGAACACGCTGTGGAACAGAGGAAGGACGAACCGCCATAGCGTGCATGCTAGGGACAGGAGGCGGACGCTCACGAGGAACACGACGACCAGCGCGAACAGGCGATGCAGGACGAGACGCAGGCTCACGACGCTCTGTAAGTGAGTCTGTCTGCGCAGTGTAAGGAGAAGGAGCAGGCAGTGGTGCGCCGGGCTGTAACGGGAGGCCAGTGGAAGACTGGAGGCTAAGAACCTGGCGAAGCACGGAGTCAGGCGGTGGCAGAGACGACGGTGACGGCGGAGCGAAAAGCAGGCGCGACGGTGCAGTGCCACCAGTACCAGTAGCTCCAGCGCCTCCAGCATCTCCAGAACCTCCAGCTTTAGCGCCTCCAGCAGCAGCACCTCCAGCTCCAGTGACTCCAGCAGCAGCACCTCCAGCTCCAGCGCCTCCCACAGCTCCAGAACCTCCAGCTCCAGCGACTCCAGCAGCAGCACCTCCAGCTCCAGCGCCTCCAGCAGCAGCACCTCCAGCTCCAGGGACTCCAGCAGCAGTACCTCCAGCCCCAGCGCCTCCAGCAGCTCCAGAATCTCCAACTCCAGCGCCACCAGTAGCAGCACCCCCAGAACCGGCACCTCCAGCCTCAAGGTCCCCAACTCCAGGGTCGATAGGACCAGCGCCAGGGCCTCGAGCAGCAGCACCCCCAGAACAGGCACCTCCAGCTCTAGGGTCTCCAACGCCCGGGTTGACAGCACCAGCTCCAGGGCCTCCAGCCCCAGTACCTCCAGGAGCAGCACCCCCAGAGCCGACACCTCCAGCTCCAGGAGCAGTACCAGTCCCGGCAGCTCCAGTACCTCCAGTACGAGCACCTCTAGGACCAGAGACACCAGCACTCCCAGTGCCTCCATGACAAGTAGCTACAGCAGCACGACTCCTCAGGCGGGTACGCGACGCAAGCCACTCTCGTGACTGCTGTGGTGAGACAGGCCCGCGTCGTGAAACGAGACCCAAAGGAATGCCAGTAGACTCAGCACCCCCAGGATCCGCACCCCCCGGCCCCTCACGGACGGGCTCAACACCCCCAAGCTCTGCACTCCCCATTACCTCACGCGCATGCTTAGCACCCTCAGAAGCAGCACCCCCAGCAACACCTCCCGCAGCAGCACCTGAGTCGCTAGTGACCTCTACAGGCTCAGCCAAGGGGGGCGGGTCTACCTGAGACACACCTAAAGGAGCAGGACCCTGAGGGGGGAGGGGGTCTACCGGAGGGGGACCTGGAGCGAGGAAAAGCGGCGGGGGAGGGAGAGGGGCAGTGAGGTAGGGGAAGAGACGGTAGAAAGGAACCGACTCGTCAAAGGTGACGTCATGAGAGGGGAAGACACGGTGCGAGGTGGGGTGGTAAAACTGCCAGCCAGGCGCGTCAGGAACAAAGCCAAGGAAGACACAGGGAATGGTGCGGGAGGAGAGCTTGTCCGCGGACGTATCGCGAACAAGGGCACGAGCACCCCAGACCCGGAAACGCAACGCATCGCCAACTTCCCCCATCCAACGCAGTGTGGGCGAGGTCTCCGGCAAGGAGACACGGGGCCAGAGGTTGAGCTGCTGCGCGGCGTACCGGACCGCAAACGGCCACAGAAAATGGGGAGCCGCCGCAAGAATCAAGGAGGTACGAGCGACCTCCATGACTAAGCCAATGCGGCGCTCAGCAACCCTACTTTGCTGTGGTGACCCCGGAAGCGTGAACGACTGCTCGATGCCCTCCCCCTGACAGAAGGCCCACAAGAGGTCGGAGCTAAACTCACCACCTCTGTCAGAGTGCAGACGCAGGACAGGAAGGTCCTGGCGGAACCTGCGGCGGAGCCGGAGACGAACTGCTCGGATCCAAGGGATCAGGACAGCAGAGACCTCACCCTTGGTGCGCAAGGGGAAGACCGTAGTGTACCGCGAGTAGTCGTCGACAACCAGTAGAAAGTACCGTGCACCGCCCTGTCTACGAACGCAGGCTGGGCCCCACACGTCCAGGTGGAGGGTCTGCAGAGGAGCCTCTGTCGGGAGAAACGAGGAGGAGTGAGGAGCGGCGCGCTGCCGCCCCTCGACGCAAGGAAGGCACGGCGGCACAGGCGAGGTAGGGAGGGGAGGGAGAGACCTGGGAAGACCAGACACAAGGAGGCGACAGTGCATGCTACGTAGACGTGGCAGGGAGGGGTGGCCCAGGCGGTGGTGCCAGAGAAGAGTCTGGTGCGACAGGGAGCGATACTCACAAGGGGAGGCTACCTGACCTGACGTAGAAACCTGACCGGTAGCAGCTACCTGAGGAGGCGCAGTCGTCAGTGTGTAAAGACTCGACCCTGGCCGACGGGTAAACGTGGCCAGGTGGCGGCCGGTCCAGGAGCACATACAGATCGCCACACGCTGTCCTCCAGGGTTAAAGGTGTCAACCCACTGGTCCTGGAGAACTGCGTTGCTCACCAAGTTCGTAGAGAACGAGGGGAGGTGGAAGCCGCCGGGCATGGAAGCAGAGTCGTGGACCGTGCAAGAACTGGGCCCCCTGAGGGGTCAGCCAGAGAGACTGCAATAGGTGCAGGGAGTGGTGTGAGTGCAGTACTGTCATGGAAGAAGCAGCGGTAAGGACCTGAGTCAAGCGTGAAGGTGTGCAAGGCCTCAGCAGGCGCAGTACCTGAGGAAGCAGACTCGCTAGCACCTAAGGCAGCAGCCTCACTAGCACCTAGAGCAGCAAGCTCTATACCGGAGTCGTACTGCACACAGAGGTGACAGTCACTCTCAGCACCATCATGCAAAGCAGACACGGCAGAAAGGATGGCGTCATAGTCTAAAGCAAAGACAGCAACGCCCGACCTAAGCAGCTCAAGCCAGGGGGGGATCTCAGCCTCGTCGCCAAACTCTTTGCGCCAGGCGTCAGTCATATAGGCGAAGCAGCGGGACTGTGCGTGACCAGGTGTCCCACAGGTCTCACCAGCTCGACAACCTGTGCGAATGACGTACGGGCAGCGACCCGGACTCGGAGACGGCCCATGCTGGTAAAGCCACTCACGAAGCTACTGGGGCGTAAAGGTCGGATGCCGCCGTAGCTGCAGCTGGCCTCCGCCAGACACTTCGCACCAAACAGCACCATAGTGACTGCTACTACGGCTGCCATCACTCCCACTGCTGCCACCACCACCGTCACCAGTCCCACCGGTACGACAAAGGGAAGTCATGGCGGGCAAGCTAGGAGGAGCGCGACCTCTAGGGCAGTACGGAGTGAAGGCAGTAGCACGAGTAGCAGCAGCAGCAATAAGAGCAGCAGGGCGGCGCGCAGCCAGAGCAGGGCGGCGTGCAGCCAGAGCAGGGCGGCGCGCGGCCACAGCAGGGCTGTAGCAAGCAGCAGCAGGTAGTAGCTCCTAGGGCAAAAGCACCTAGGGCCTTTTTTTTTAATAATTTTAATTATATTTAGGGTTTAGCAGGGCGCTGGCGCAGGCTGCAGCAGTGTGTGACGCGAGGGGCAGCAGAGCGCGACGCGACTAGCTGCATTAGGGCGCGACGCGCGGGCTGCAGCAGAGCACGACGCGCGACTCGTGGGCTGCCTTAGGGCAGGGCGCAGGCGCAGGGCAGGGCGCTGGCGCATGGCAGGGCGCTGGCGCAGGGCAGGGCGCTAGCACAGGGCAGGGCACTGGCACAAGGTAGGGCGCCGGCGCAGGGCAGGGCGTTGGCGCAGGGCAGGGCGTTGGCGCAGGGCAGGGCGCCGGCGCAGGGTAGAGCGCTGACGCAGGGTGACGCCAGGCAGGGCAGGGCAGGACGTGCGCAAGGCAGCGCGACGCGAGGCAAGGCAGGGCGTGCGCGGGGCAGCGCGACGCAGGGTAGTGGGGTAACGCGGTAACAGCAGTCGGAAGCTAAGTATGGTGGGCCCGAAAAAAAAAACGGTCCTACGGACCTACTGCTCTGAAACCATGTCAAGATAGCAAGCAGGAATGATTGCATTGAATGAAATGTGGGTACAAGTACTACCCCTAACTTCGAGTTGTACCCCATATGGGCTACCCCCACTATAGCCTGCACAGAACTAACACATATATAGTTTGACATCGATCACCCCGCTCCCCCAATCTCCCTTCAGTGCAGTACTTGCCTACGGGTAGGTATCAATTTCGTTGTGACCGACGATCGAACCGAAAACGAATAGTTTGCCATCTGCACACGATCGCATGTGCCTGTGATCGAATTGGCCCGGTACGGGTACTTCAATGTCCAATTACGAGTTATAAGTGAGGCTGTTCTCAACCCCAAGGGAGCTTGTCCTAGGGAGATGGATAGGGAGGTAACCCCTGCTGCAATGCTCCTCACCTCCCACACCCCGCTACTCCCCTGTTGTGCTCCTCCCTTGCTCCCATGCCTCGCTGCTCCCTTGCTCTTATGCTCCCCCATGCCCTGTCCACGCTTCCACTCCCATTCCCCCCCGCTTCCACTCCCCTTCCCCCATGCTTTCACTCCCCTTCCCCCACTGTTCCACTCACCCTTCCTCCACCTTTCCACTCCCCTTCCCGCATGCTTCCAATGCAACATGCATCACTATTACACTCCCCGTCCCTGACGGTTCATCTCCCATTCCCCCACGGGAACACTCCCTTTCTCCCACGCTTCCACTCTGCCTTCCCCCACGCTCCCACTCCCCTTCCTCCACGCTTTCACTCCCCTTCCCCCACCGTTCCACCCCTTCCTCCATGCTTCCACTACCCTTCCCCCACACTTCCAATTCAACATCCCCACTGTTTTACTCTCCTTCCCCCATTGTTTCACTCCCCTTCCCCCACTGTTTCACTCCCCTTCCCCCATTGTTCCACCCCCCTTTCCTCCACCCTTGCACTCCCCTTCCCCCATGCTTCCAATGCAACATACAGCACTGTTACACTCCCCTTCCCGGATGGTTCATCTCCCATTCCCCCACGGCAACACTCCCTTTCTCCCACGCTTCCACTCCGCCTTCCCCCACGCTCCCACTCCCCTTCCTCCACGCTTTCACTCCCCTTCCCCCACTATTCCACTCTCCCTTCCTCCATGCTTCCAATCCCCTTCTCCCACGCTTCCAGTGCAACATCCCCCACTATTTCACTCCCCTTCCCCCACTATTTTACTCCCCTTCCCCCACAGTTTCACTCCCCATCGCCCATTGTTTCACTCCCCTTCCCCCACTGTGTCACTGCCCATACCCCACTATTTCACTCCCCTTCCCCCACTGTTTCACTCCCCTTCCCCCACTGATTCACTCCTCATCCCCCACTGTTTCACTCCCCTTCCCCCACTGTGTCACTCCCCATCCTCCACTATTTCACTCCCCTTCCCCCACTGTTTCACTCCCCTTCCCCCACGGATTCACTCCTCTTCCCCCACTGTTTCACTCCCCTTCCCCCAATGTTTCACTCCCCTTCTCCCACTGTTTCACTCCCCTTCCCCCATGCTCCCCTGCACCCATACTCCCATGCTCTCCTGCACCCATGCTCCCTTGTGATAGAACTGGAGCTGAACTGATTGATCAGTAGAGAAGGCACTAGGCCTTAAGTAAAAACAGGGTTGGGTTGAGCAAAGCTAGGGAAAGGATGGGATGGGAATCCTAGCAAATCTCCAATTGGTGAGTTGGCAGATTTGTTAGATTACGAGGGAATCCCAACCAGATCGGGTTGGGATTACAATCTACACCCAACCTACAAATAACCTACAAGATATAGAATGTAATGCACAAAATGTTGATAGCCTATGTCTAACACACCCACTAGGCTGCAACATATCAGCCACAGGGAGGCCCAACACCCATGGACGAGAGGAGGTGGTAATGGTCCTTGCAAACAAGTGACTTGGTAAACAAGTCAGCAAGGTTGCAGTCGGAGGCAATGTTTTCAGCCTTCAGCTACTCGCGCTGCACCAGCCCACGAAGAAAGAAGTGACGGACCTCAATGTGCTTGGTACGGCCGTGGAAGACGGGTCCTTGGTGATCTGAGTAGTACTCTCGTTGTCACACCGAAGCGTTGGGGTTGGTTGAGGATACCCAAGTTCTGTCAGCAGGAAGGAGAGCCAACGAGCCTTTTGGGCAGCCATGGTCCCGGCATACAGCTTTGCCACATAGGTCGACAGTGAGACTGAGTTTGACTGAGTGGAGCGCCAACTTACAACGCCACTGCCAAGGGTAAAGCAATACCCTTGAGAAGAGCGCCGATCACTCTGGTCATCAGCATAAGACGAGTCACTGTACCCCTTAAGGCGAACAGGGGAAGAGCTGCCAAGTGTGAGAACATAATCCTATGTGTCCTATAGCAAAGGACCCGCTTGGCGGCAGACCAGTGGTGGCGAGTGAAGCGACCAAGTGTAACGTAGCGAGACCGTGCACTGACTGGGTAGGCCAAGTCCGGTCGAGTGCACATCATCGCGTACATGAGGGATCCAAGGAGCTCGGGGTAAGGCTCATCACAGGGCTCAGGTGAGGGAACAGAGAGTGCAGTGAGTTGGTGCTGCAGAGAGAGTGGGGCAGGCATTGATGCTGCTTCCTGCATCTTGAACCGCGTCAGAATGTTGTTGATGTAAAACTTCTGCGAGAGGGTGATGGTGCGGGCCGTGCAATCACTTGTGATTTCCATGCCCAAATAATTCGTCAGCTTCCCAAGATCCTTCATGGTCATCTTCTCACCAAGTGCGGTTCTGACTACATCCAACTCAGTCTGATCCTTGGTGACAAGGATCATATTATCGATATAAACCAGGATGAAGAAGCAAAATGGTGTTGCTCGGATGGAGAGGCTGGGGTCAGAGGTGGATGGGTGAAAGTCGAGGGACCCTAACGTGCTCTTGAGCTTGTCGTGCCATTCCTGGGGTGCTTTCTTGAGGCCATACACTGGCTGATTCAGCTTCCAAACAGTGCCTGGTGAAAAAGGAGCTGGAAATCCTTCGGGCCGCTCCATATAGATGTCCTCTCGACGGACCCCTTGGAGAAATGCAGAAGACACAACCATGCTGTCAACCTCTATGCCATCTCGAGCGGCAACATCGAGAAGGGTGCATAGTGTGGGGGGTTTGGCAGTGGGAGAGAATGTCTCAAATAAGTCTAGTCCATTGTCACACGAAAAAGGAAAGAATATGGTTTCTGTTCCGCATGATATGAGGTGTACATGGTGTAGCACGGAGTATAGTAACGGGAAGGCGTGCAGCGAAGCGGTGACGGACATTCGGGGGTGACAGCTGTAGAAATAGAGTGTATGGGTAATCAAGCTAGTGCGGGATGAATGGAGACGCCCCGCGTGTACAGTGATGGCAGCCATGATGGTGGTTTCACGTGAAGCGAAGTGATCGTGGAGACACGTTATGAGCCTAGGAGCACGGATGGTGCAGATCGTATTTGTACATTTGTGGGCTGGTTGGGCGGCTGAGATGAAGTGCATGTCGGATGGTGTATGCTTTGCTTGCTGTATGTGTTTGATGTTGGTGTGTGTATGTGCAGGTTCTTGCCTTACCCCACGCCCCCTGCAAGAAGTCAGTAGCTAGCCAAGATCTGCACTGTACATAGTTAGCTAGCCTACTCTGAACTCCTTGCTTGATTGTTTGTTTCCTCGATGTACTGGAATGGTGTGTGCTACTTTCCTAGCAGAAATAGCCAGAGAGAGAGGAGCCTGTCGTTAGATCAAGGGATTTTTCAACAATCAAACAAGATGTGCGGCTAAGTCTCTTGCGATTGCTTGGGCGATATGAGTCAACACAGAAAGAGAAGATCATGGACACAGGTAATAAGCAGGAGGAGCCGCGGGAAGAGACGCAGGGAGCGCCTGAGTCGGGGAGAGTATCGATCGGAACGGAGACCGGTCGCAGCGAAGTATATCGTGCTCCGCCCCGTAGGCGCTGTCAACGGGAGTTGGGTGTGGCCCCGTCCTCGCTTGGGTGGAGCCGACCTCGTGGTCGGGTGTAAGGGGAGCAGCCGACCTGCAGCAGTGGGTGAACTGGTCGACGGGGTTGGTCGACCTGCACGGGGTCACTGCAAGGGCGCCGACTTCGGGAGGGCGCCGACTTCGGGGAGGTCGAGTTGGGAGGTCGACACGTGTAGGGCGTCGACTTGGTGACGCCGACCTAGAGAAGCCGACTTGGGTGGTCGGCTGACAGCTATGCTGGTCGACGTGGAGCCGGTCGACCAGGATTGTTGTCGACTTGGTGGTCGACCAGGGTGGTGTGGTCGACAAAGGAGGGGCCGACGTCGACCTCAACACGGGAGACTGGGGACGCCGAGCTAGAGGGCGTCGAGGAGTAGGGCGCTGAGAAGTTGGGCGTTGAGCAACAGGGCGCCAAGGTGGTGGGCGCCGGACATTGGGGACACCGGGCCTGTACAGCCGGCGACCGACCGAGCTGGTCGACCAGGCGTGGTTGCCCGGTCGACCGGGATACATAGGCGATGTGTGCGAGTGTCGCCTGGGTGGAGTCTGCGAGGTCGACCTCGGAAGTGGTATCTCGAGGTCGACGTGGCTGGTGGGCACAGGCGCTGGCGTGGAGTCGACCTGGGCGTCTGCACTGTGCATGTGACAAGGAAGAGTGCACCAATCAGCTGCGCGCACCTGCAAAGCGGGTGCACAGTTGTTCTGCGGGTGCAACGCTGTGCAGCCGACTTGCTGTAGTGTTGGCACGCCGTGGACTTGCAAGGTTGGCAAGCCGCGACCTTGCTCTGCTGGAGCGTGGTCGACCAAGTCGTGCTGGCACGCGGTCGACCGTGCTGCGCTGGAGGTTGACTAGCAGCTTTGCTAGGTCTGATGTAGTCTTGCATGCCAAGGTTGTTGCACCATTGTTCTGAACTATTCCTAAGGGCGTGTGCACTATTACTCGATACTGTGAAAATCAAACGTTGAGATCGAATTAGCGTCATCGATGTAGTTTGAACACCCATTTTCGAACTCTGACTTTAGCCGCGAAGTCTTGTACAAAATGCTCGAGCAAGTCGTCCCGCGCTTCACTTCACAACAAGGGTCGCCATCGTCGCATCAAATATGATTGGGTTAGAAGCCACGCGAAATCCAACCGCGGACGCTATAACGTCGCACAAGTTGGAGCCCGAGCCGCGCTCCGAAATGATGTTCGAATGCTAGCGGGAATTCAGAACTCGAACACGTGAAACTCGAAAGTGTACACTACTTTAAAGTGTCTTCGCGAAGGTGGTTCGCGACATTCACGAAGTCTGGTTACCGTGAAAGTTCGATATTTTTCGAACGCTAGTGCACACGCCCTAAGTGGAACTCTTGCCAATTCTCTCCGTGAACTAGCAAGTAGTGTGCGCACAAGGAAACGACTAAGGAACAAACGAACACAGAGATCACACGAGCACCCGTGCCTAGCCCGCAGTCTAGCTCCCGTTGTAGTAGTTATCTCCGCAGGCGCAGCCAAGGAGATCTACTGGGTTGCGCATCCGAAGAAGCACGGAAGCAGTAGGGAGAAGGGGAAAACCGGCGCCTGCAGAGGACGGGGTCGGTCGAGCGCAGAAGATGGACAGAGGACGATGAGCTCCGAGGTGTAACCATGCGGCCTACGAGGTCGACAGGGACGACGAAGAGGGAGGCGCCAGCGCACCCGAGCGAGCGATGGCGCTACACTAACCTGCCGGAGATCAAAGTGCCAGAGAGGTTCACCAGGCAAGAGGGCGTTGGTGCTGACCTCCGCAACTATCTCATGCAGATTGATAACGTGCGCTGGGACGCCGGACGGGCTGGAGGCGGAAGAGTCTTTCCGCGGGCTCTCAAACACACTCGCGGGAGAGGAGGAGACGTATTATCGCATCACAAAAGAGGACCTGCTGCTTAAATACGGCTACTGGGAGGCGGCGACTAAGGAATCGTCGAGGAGTTCCTGGAGAGCTTGAAACGGCAATTCCTGGTGCAAACCCCGGACGAGATACGTGAATTCGCATTCTTCGAGCGGAAGGGCGAAGAATCCCTACTGGGGTACTACGAACGGCTGCGAGAGCTGGCGTTGGATATGGAGTGTACGGACGAGCGACGACTCATTGGGAAGTTTCTAAATGGCCTGGATCAGAGCATGGTGAAAGAGCTGCGGAGCAAAGTGTTCGAGATGGGACGGGAAGCCTCACTCCAACAAGTCTACGAAATGGTGTGCAGATACGAGATGGGGCGCAAGCTGTATGAGCTGGAGAGAGCGAAAACGAGAGGAGGGGAAAGACGACAAGGGGTCTAGGTGGCCAACACGCCTTCGGAGCCTTTACAGCGGGAAAAAGCTGGGAGCACGGATCGCCGGAGATGCCACCGATCCGGCCAGGCTGGGCACCTCCAGCACGACTGCACTCAGGCACCACGCTATGACACCTGCGGGGAAGTGGGACATCAGCGGCGGGAATGCCCTCGGTCCTCGACGTGCAAGCACTGTGGAAAGAAGGGCACAGGGAGGCCGATTTCTACGCGAAGAGGCCTACCAAGGGAAGGAACAAGAGCAGGGGCGAAATCGAGGAGGAAATGCGTTATGACAAAGGAAATTGCC